CCTTGTAACTTAAGGGAAGCAGAGTCCCTTGGGCAATTTAAACGATTACTCAAAGAACTGTAAGGCAAGGCATTCGTGGAAAGCAGCTTTTTTATTTAAATATTTTTATTATATTAGTATTAGGCGTTTTTAAAGCTGACGAATTTTGTACCGTGGATAAATAAAGATTATCTATCTATCTATCTACGTTTGGCCCCGACCTTAGTGAGTTAAGTTCATGAAATGTTCGACATCTGGCTCAGTTAAATTCGTCTGAATGAGTCTGGATCCTTCAGGCGGATAGAAGGTCTGAAGATCTACTCCGGGACAAACGTCGATCTTCACACGCGACGAACTAAACTAATAAATTAAAAATTTGTATTATAATCTATATTTGGTCTCGTTCGGGAGAAAATGTGTCAAAATTACTTTTTGGTCGGATTCAGTTGATTGGTTTGACGCGTCCTAAGTTCGACTTCTCTGACCCAACAGACGATCTTAATTTGATTATCGTCGAACCAAATTAGAGTTTGGTTCGTCCCATGAAAAGTTCGACGTTTGGTCGAGGCTTTAGAATAATCGCTATGAAGATTGAATGACCGCGAACTCGCTTTTTAATGGACGTTTTCGCCGCCGTCGCTGTCCTAAAATCTTAAGGTCTCTACAATTGCGTGAGACAAAAAACGGCTCATGTCGCCACCCTTTTTAAGACAAGATACCTTATTTCATGACCCTGATTCATTTCGTTTCACACAAGAATTTACTTTTTTTAAAACTAACATAATGGAATTAGATTTTTTTAAATTACATTACATATACCTTTCATGTAGACCGCGCATTGCGAACCTTCACACACTTTTTAAGGCTTCCAGTCCAAAAAGAAACTATTTTCAACACGCTAAATAGTAATTGTTTACCATTTACATGGGCAAACCGGTCAGGGAAAATGGCAGGCAAAATTAAGAAGTGATAAACTTCATCCCGAAATCGTGTCTACCATTTGTACGAACAGTACTATTTACCGAAAAATGGCGCCGGGAAAGAGCCTGAATCTGCTATCACGAATTTCCATTTTTTTTGACACTCACATGTTCCGTAGCACCCGGAAATTTTCTGCCGGAACGACATGAAAAGGTCGTCTTTCATTTTCTTTCTGACAAGATTTTCCGAAAACGTCTTGTAAATGGTAAACAATCGGTGAAATTGTATACCCCTTTTAAGACTCAAGGTCCTGAAAGCCATACTCTGTTCAGCGGCGCAGTTGTCCGGACTTGTCCTTTTCGTAAACCGTCGCTGTCATTTTTAAGACACCTAGAAAATTTTTGACCTGTTATTGAAAGTTTTTCTATTAATTAAAAAGAAACTAAATCGCAACGCAGGGTCGAACCTGGACCTCGAACCCGTAGCTTTCGTATCCTATCTCTCTCCCTTACCACCACACTGCCAGCCCTTTCCATAATTTTTCACGTAAATTCAACTTGGGCTTCAACTTCGCTTTTTCTAAGACTATTCAAAAACGAATTCTTTGTCTTATTGGAACTTAATGCATGGAGTATATTACAACTATCATGACTAAAGGCTTGGTTACCAAGGGTGGCATCGACCGTTAAAAATGGCGACGACCGTTTACGTGAGGGAAATAGGGTTCAGCGGCACAAACCCGCCTAGGCCAAATAGGGGAGTCCCCTCGGGTTTTAGGTTGCAACATAACTGAATTGTTGATTGAGAAAGGGGCCGAGTTGCCAGAGCTGGGTTAACATAACCCAGGTTTATTGGAAAATTTTAATGCAGGGCCCGGTTCCTGAAGTGTCAATTTGCCTTAATCCAGGATTAAATTTTGTTCCTTTTTTGTATTTTACATTCCTGTACATTGCTTAGGGTAACACTTTGTGTTATCATTACTGTATCTCGTAGTATTTGCTAAACAGTATATTGTAACCTCGAGTTGCGTGTTCTTAGACTAGAAAACCGTGCTTGAAATTTAGCTTAATCCAGGGTTAAACTTAACCATCTTTCGAGGAACCGGGCCCAGATTTGAAAGTGTAAAAGTAGTGTTCAATTTAATTCTTTTTGTCTATAATTCGATGATTAGAGCCGGCTAATTATTATTTATTACTTATTATCCTAGAGAATGCTTTTGAACAAAAGAAAAAGAAACCTGGATTAAAATTTAACACTGGGTTAGAGTGAATCGGCCTTCGAACAACTAGACCGGGTTTTTCCCAACTGATATCCACAGCTTCCTTGAATTTGGACAGCAATTTAGTGGAAACAAGATTTTACAGCGTGCACTAAAAAATTTCAGTGTTAACTAAATTCGAACCTCCGCTAACAGCCACTTCTCTACAAAGGCCACTTTTTTTCATCCCGGCGAACAAAAAGTCCATACATTGACTCTGTTTAAAACCTCTCTACAACGGCCACTTTCTTCTGTCCCCAAGGTGGCCTTTGTAGAGAGGTTCAACCTTAGTTTTTTTACTTGTTAACAAAGCTCTGTAAAAAGATTTCTTAATTTAAGAGTTGTTAATCAAACTTGATCTGATGCCAACATCGTTACAAAGATAAGTTGACACCGAATACCATGAATAAATACAACGTATTTATTTTGAATGAATGTGGAGAGGCCGCCTGATTAAATCTAGTCGATTTTTTTGAAGACGAACCCAATCTCGTTCCCAGAGGCCGCTATCCTCCAGGTTGAAACGAACCTCACGAAAGTTGCAGGCATTTGAGTGAAAAAGGGTCAAAAGGCAGGTTTTTTGTGCCCGACAGGCTCGAAAATCATCCTAACAAAGGGTAAGCAAAGGAGAAAAAGAAACAGCGAGGAGGAGGGAAGAAAGGAGAAGAAAAAAAAGAAATGGTTGCTCCCTTGATTTTTACATTGGAGACTCTCCTTTGAGACACCTCCATTCAGAGGACACAACATTTGTTCAGGGAAAATGTTCACAAAATCTTTGTACTTGTTACCTCTATTGAAGGGACACCTCTATTTGGGGAAAGGGTCACTTTTTGTGGGTCTCGAAACCCGCTTTTAACCTCCCTTCAGAGAACACCTTAGTACTCAAAAAGCGACTAACCACAAAAAGGGTTGATAAGTTTCATAGTTCTCTAGTCAAAATGGCTTCAGAATTTTATAGAATGAGCTATCTCACTAAAATCGACGTACTAAACTTGTGGGAATTTAACGCACAACATCACAGATTTAATTATGGCATAATTTTTTTGTACTTTCTGGCTGCTTGAAGTAATGACTGCAGCACATTCTGAGGCACAATAAAAGAAAAATGTATTATTTGTTGGTTTAATATTTACAAACTCCAGCTCAACCTCCATTCAGGGGACACTTGCCTTGGTCGCGCGGGTGTCTCCTTAATAAAGGATGTATAATCGCTTTTCTTTGGCCGAAGAAAAGACACTGTTTGACGAAAGAAGTCCATTTTCAAAAATACGGCTGGAATTAGACTCGAAATTAGACGGTAGTTTACAGAAATATTGTTGACGTCTAAATATGTCCAGGATTGCACTCCAACTGTAGCACAAATACGTAAGCAAATTTTTATCTCAAAAAAAAAAAAAACTAGAACTAATAATTAGTGTTTAATTTAAAAAAGGAGACTTCACAAATCTGACCAAAATGGCCCAGAAATAAAACTTTTGTTACCACAAAAAAAAAAACAAGAAAAACAAATTTACCAAGGAAAAGGCATTAAGGTCAGAAAAGAAAAGAGGCACCCGAGAAACCCGCAAATTAACAAACATATCAAGACTTTTTTTCTGCGAGCAAGAGAGATCATTCTCTCTTGCATCAAGGTGTCAAATGTGCCAGAGGAAAGTCGTAAACACAAAAAATTCAAGAATCATCAAACTGAATGAGGGACCCACTCAAATTTATTGATCTTATAGGTGCTCGCGCGAGTGTATTACCCTCAGGGTGGCGCCATTTGTTCCACTTATGGCATAATTGGGATAGAACGAATCGACGGCTTTTCTTTAATGAAATTTGTCTCCCCGATCGGAGAGATATTACAGATGCGGCATTTTACGCGATGCGTTCATATTCTGCAACCCTACCGAGGAAAATAATTCTGAATGAATAGTAAAACAATTATGAATAAGGAATAATAAAACAAATATTGAATTCTGATTTCGTATTATAAGAGAAATTATGCAGACCTTAAAGGTTGTGAAGCGATCAGCCTCGGATTTTTGTCTTGGTGAATAACACCACCCTCAATCGAAATAATGTTTCATATCATACCTCGCCTCATTCACAAGAGCTTCTCCAACAGCATGGCAGCTCATTGCTGAAACTCCTTGGCCTGCTCCAAGTCGCCTAAGGCGTGGTAAATTGAAGCAAAGTTGTGGTAGCTTGTTGCAACGTTAACATGTTCTGAGCCGAGCTTTTCCAGTTCGATCTCCAGAGCACGTTGCTGATACTCCGTGGCTTGCTCGTAGTCATTTGAGGCGATGTGAATTGAAGACAATTTAAGGTAGCTTGTTGCAATATTAACATGTTCTTTACCGAGCTTGTCCAGTTCGATCTGTAGAGCAAGTTGCAGATACTCCTTGCCTTGCTCGAAGTCACCTAAGGCTTTGTAAATTAAGGCAAAGTTGTAGTAGCTGATTGCAACATCAACATGTTCTGGGCCGAGCTTGTCCAGTCTTATCTGATACTCCTTGCCTTCCTCGAAGTCACCTAAGTCCTAGTAAATTAAAGGTTAGTTTTGGTAGCTTGTTGCATCATTAACATGTTCTGGGCCGCGCTTGTCTAGTTGGATCTCTAGAGCACGTTGCTGATACTGCTTGGCTTGCTCAATGTCACCTAAGTCTTGGTAAATTGAAACTAAGTTGAAGTAGCTTGTTGCAACATTAACATGTACTGGGCCGAGCTTGTCCAGTTGGATCTCTAGAGCACGTTGCTGATACTCCTTGGCTTGCTCGAAGTCACCCAAGTCTTGGTAAATTAAGGCAAAATTGTTGAAGCTTGTTGCAACATTAACATGATCTGGGCCGAGCTTGTCCAGTTCGATCTCTAGAGCACGCTGCTGATACTCCTTGGCTTGCTCGAAATCACCTAAAGCTTTGTAAATTAAGGCAAAGTTTTTGTAGCTTGTTGCAACATTAACATGTTCTGGACCGAGCTTGTCCAGTTCCATCTCTAGAGCACGTTGCTGATACTCCTTGGCTTGCTCTAAATCACCTAAGGCTTTGTAAATCAAGGCAAAGTTTTTGTAGCTTGTTGCAACATTAACATGTTCTGAGCCGAACTTTTCCAGTTCGATATCTAGAGCACGCTGCTGATACTCCTTGGCTTGTTCGAAGTCACCCAAGTCTTGGTAAATTAAAGCAAAATTTTTGTAGCTTGTTGCAACATTAACATGTTCTGGGCCGAGCTTGTCCAGTTGGATCTCTAGAGCACGTTGCTGATACTCCTTGGCTTGCTCGAAGTCACCTAAGTGTTGGTAAATTGAAGCAAAGTTTTTGTAGCTTGTTGCAACATTAACATGTTGTGGGCCGAGCGACACTAGTTGGATCTCTAGAGCACGTTGCTGATACTCCTTAGCTTGCTCGAAGTCACCGAGGTCTTGGTAAATTAAGGCAAAGTTGCTGAAGCTAGTTGCAACATTAACATGTTCTGGGCCGAGCTTGTCCAATTGGATCTCTAGAGCACGTTGCTGATACTCCTTGGCTTGCTCGAAATCACCTATGGCTTTGTAAATCAAGGCAAAGTTTTTGTAGCTTGTTGCAACATTAACATGTTCTGGGCCGAGCTTGTCCAGTTTGATCTCTAGAGCACGTTGCTGATACTCCTTGGCTTGCTCGAAGTCACCTAAGTGTTGGTAAATTAAGGCAAAGTTGTTAAAGCTTGTTGCAACATTAACATGTTCTGAGCCGAGCTTGTCCAGTTGGATCTCTAGAGCACGTTGCTGATACTCCTTGGCTTGCTGGAAGTCCCCCAAGTCTTGGTAAATTAAGGCAAAATTGTTGAAGCTTGTTGCAACATTAACATGTTCTGGGCCGAGCTTGGCCAGTTGGATCTCTAGAGCACGTTGCTGATACTTCTTGGCTTGCTCGAAGTCACCTAGGTGTTGGTAAATTGAAGCAAAGTTTTTGTAGCTTGTTGCAACATTAACATGTTCTGGGCCGAGCGTCTCTAGTTGGATCTCTAGAGCACGTTGCTGATACTCCTTGGCTTGCTTGAAGTCACCCAGGTCTTGGTAAATTAAGGCAAAGTTGTTGAAGCTTGTTGCAACATTAACATGTTCGAGGCCGAGCTTGTCCAATTGGATCTCTAGAGCACGTTGCTGATACTCCCTAGCTTGCTCGAAGTCACTTAGGTCTTGGTAAATTGAAGCTACGTTTTGGTAGCTTGTTGCAACATAGACATGTTCTGGGCCGAGCTTGTCCAGTTGGATCTCTAGAGCACGCTGCTGATACTCCTTGGCTTGCTCGAAGTCACCCAAGTGTTGGTAAATTAAGGCAAAATTGTTGAAGCTTGTTGCAACATTAACATGTTCTGGGCCGAGCTTGGCCAGTTGGATCTCTAGAGCACGTTGCTGATACTTCTTGGCTTGCTCGAAGTCACCTAAGTGTTGGTAAATTGAAGCAAAGTTTTTGTAGCTTGTTGCAACATTAACATGTTCTGGGCCGAGCGTCTCTAGTTGGATCTCTAGAGCACGTTGCTGATACTCCTTGGCTTGCTCGAAGTCACCCAGGTCTTGGTAAATTAAGGCAAAGTTGTTGAAGCTTGTTGCAACATTAACATGTTCTGGGCCGAGCTTGTCCAATTGGATCTCTAGAGCACGTTGCTGATACTCTCTAGCTTGCTCGAAGTCACTTAGGTCTTGGTAAATTGAAGCTAAGTTTTGGTAGCTTGTTGCAACATAAACATGTTCAGGGCCGAGCTTTTCCAGTTCGATCTCTAGAGCGCGTTTCTGATACTCCTTGGCTTCCTCGAAGTCACCTAAGTGTCTGTAAATTGAAGCTAAGTTGAAGTAGCTTGTTGCAACATTAACATGTTCTGGGCCGAGCCTGTCCAGTTGGATCTCTAAAGCATGTTGCTGATACTCCTTGGCTTCCTCGAAGTCACCTAAGTGTCTGTAAATTGAAGCTAAGTTGAAGTAGCTTGTTGCAACATTAACATGTTCTGGGCCAAGCTTGTCCAGCTGGATCTCAAGAGCACGTTGGTGATACTCCTTGGCTTGCTCGAAGTCACCTAAGTCTTGGTATATTAAGCCAAAGTTGTTGAAGCTTGTTGCAACATTAACATGATCTGGGCCGAGCTTGTCACGTTTGATCTCTAGAGCACGTTGCTGATACTCCTTAGCTTGCTCGAAGTCACCTAAGTGTCTGTAAATTGAAGCTAAGTTTTTGTAGCTTGTTGCAACATTAACATGTTCTGGGCCGAGCTTGTCCAGTTGGATCTCTAGAGCACGCTGCTGATACTCCTTGGCTTGCTCGAAGTCACCTAAGTGTTGGGAAATTAAGGCAAAGTTGTTGAAGCTTGCTGCAACATTAACATGTTTGGGGCCGAGCTTGTCCAGATCGATCTCTAGAGCACGTTGCTGATACTCCTTTGCTTGCTCGAAGTCACCCAAGTGTCTGTAAATTGAAGCTAAGTTGAAGTAGCTTGTCGCAACATTAACATGTTCTGGGCCGAGCTTGTCCAGATCGATCTCTAGAGCACGTTGCTGATACTCCTTGGCTTGCTCGAAGTCACCTAAGAGTTTGTAAATTGAAGCTAAGTTGAAGTAGCTTGTCGCAACATTCACATGATCTGGGCCGAGCTTGTCCAGTTGGATCTCTAGAGCACGTTGCTGATACTCTTTAGCTTGGTCAAAGTCACCTAAGTGTTCGTAAACTGAAGCTAAGATTGTGTAGCTTGTTGCAACATTAACATGTTCTGGGCCGAGCTTATTTAGTTCGATCTCTAGAGCACGTTGCTGATACTCCTTGGCTTGCGCGTAGTCACCTAAGTGTTGGTAAATTGAGGCTAAGTTTTTGTAGCTTGTTGCAACATTAACATGTTCTGGACCAAGCGTTTTAAGGTTAATGGTGAGTGAATATTGCAAATATGTTTTTGCTACGTGAAATTCACAATGCATTTCACAAATATTTGCAAGGTTGTCACATTTTTTTGCTATGTCTTTGTCATTTATTTGAAACATATTTTCTTTCACAAACACTTTGTCAGTTTCCATAGTCAAGACTTTTAAATGTGGAACGATATGCATGGTGTCCAATCTCCTCTTCATGGGTGGAACAGCGTTTATAAAAATATCGAATGTTGTAATAACGCCATTTACAACCTGAAGGGTTTGACTGTCAGAACAGGTACTTATCATCATTTTGATGGCATCGTGCACAACCTGGTGCACACGAATGAAGTCCCCACCTTGGTCATCTTGGAAAAGCAAGAGTGAGCATCGCCTTAAATTCATGCGTATTAGTTCCTTGTCCACTTCGTCAAATTCTCTGTGTACGTTTTTGATGTAACTAATTGCTACATCCACGTTCAATTGTTGCGATGCGCAGAGAGAAAGTAAAGTGAAAAGGTGTTTCACAAGTTTGTTAGACCTTAGTAGTGTTTCGACGGCTAGCTTTATGGCTTTGGTCATTGAAATTGGGTAAACTGGGTTTGTATATTCCAATGTATTCTCTGTGGTTTCTCTATTCCCTTTTTCCAACATCTTCAGGTATTCGCTCCAGCCAAAATGCCTCGATGCTTTGTCCTGCCGAATCTCTTTCACAAAGGTGGCAGCACCTGCTAATGCAAGAGGTTGATAGTCTAGTTTTTCTGCCACTTCTCTCACGAGATCGCTATCTTGGATCCCTGAAAGCATGGCCAGTAAGGAACAGGCATCGTCGGACTCCATACCTTTGCTAACTGAGATGTGATAAACAAAAGAGCTTTTTAGGGGGACTGACTTTGTTTCTTGCGTTGTGATTAGCAACTGACCCCTGGCCCAAGCTTCGTTTCCAGACTGTGGTAGATGGACAAAAACAGAGGACATAGTTGTGACATTGTCAACCACCATCAGCCACGACGTGTAACAACTAACTTTTACAGCAACAAGCATCTTAAGATTAGTGATCTTTTCCTCTACATTCAAGTCCTTTGAGTTGAGGGTTTCCATAACTGAATGCTCTGGGCACTTCAAATGGCGAGCAAATGAGGCATATGACTCCAGAAGTGAATCTTGACTCGCGGCATTTAAGGTCATTACAAATGAAGAACTATCTGGTTTTTCTTTGAATTCGTCAAAGAACCTTTTAGCTACGAGACCAGCTAGCTGTGATTTGCCACTTCCAGGATTTCCTGAGATGTATAGGAAACTCAACCTGTTGTCGTTGGACTCCTTCAACTCTCTTAGTTCTTGGGCTGTTTTGGATACCTCGCGATCACGACCACCGATGTCATGGGAAGGTTTAGGAGGAAGAATACAGAATGAAGGTGTTTCCTTCTGGAGTTGATCTTCAAGGACTTGAACTTCCTTTTTGAGATTATCAACCTTCTTCAAGATTTTTTGCAGTTCTTCTGTTGCAAACGTATTCTGATTTTTTATATCTTGGATTTCACCAGTGGGAAGACCCAGCGCTCGAAAAGCCACTTCAACTTTGCTAATGGCACTCTGAAAATCTGTCTGAGAGAGACTGCCTTGTGCCATATGAGCAAATTCTTGGTTTCTGAAATTTCTAAGATCATCTACATGTTTCCTTACTGTTGCGTTAAGGCTGCCCCCAACACTATCAGAAAAAAGGATGGAGTAGAAAAGCATTGTACAATCCCATTCTTCTCTACTTCCGTTTTGCATTGTGACTAAAAGGTGAGCATTTCTTCTTTGGTTTTTGGGAGACTCCCCGTTATAAAAGTCCAGTCCATTACAAGGCTCGTCTTTCCATTCTCCTTTCGTTGATTTGTGCTGTTTATCCCATTCTTGTTTAAAAATTTCTCTCAGGCCTTCGGTTAGGATATCAGTCGTTACGTAACAAATTCTGAAATAATTCAGTTGTTCTTTGGTGTATTCTTTTGGAAGGGCCATACCTGATGTATTTCTGTTGTTTGGAACTCTCTGTTAGCAAAGACGTTCAAAGGGAATAAATTAATTTATGGGCGTAGAATTATAGAATGGAGCATGAGATACATATTGCGTTCAATAAACTATTCAAAGGTTATGCCGAAAAAAATCGTAAGTAGTCGTAAGTATAATGCTGCCTTACATATTGATGGTTTTCACAGTGTGAAAACAACAAGTACAAGTTTCCAGCCCCGAAGCATGTTTCATTTCGAAAATAGAGCAATTGGAACTCCCGATAGACTGCAAAACAGTCCGTATTTTTGCGTAGTCAAGTACGCGCGAGCAGTCAAACAAAAGGTCTCTTGCGCCACGCTTGACCGATTTCTTTACTGATTTTGCGAAAAAAACCCGACTGTTTTGCAGTCTAAACTTCCGAGTTTTCACAGTGCGTGACACCAAAATAGGAAGTGAACTCCATACAAAGCTCTACAAAGGTGCGTGAAATGTTTCGGCAAATAACGCAGAAACTGTGGGCCACAAAGACCTGAGATTTGGAAAAATTGTTTATATATTAATCTTCTTTAACATTTCATTTTATTGGCTTCTTCCACTGGAGGGTTTCCAATTTATTCTTTTTGTGCCGTGTTTATTGCGTGTTAGTGAAAAACGAAAAATAAGATCAGCAGAATAAGGTTGAATATTATTATAGTATCTGTTGCAGATTTGTTAATCTTTTTGTTTATTGATGTATTCGGACTCGATATTCATAGTTCCCATAACTCCACTGCATTGTTTCCAGTTTTAGTTATATACAAGAGGGAAATTGTTATTCTGATGAAGGACGTGCGTGCGCTCAAACATGACGGGCTAGATATATTTTTCTTAGTAAATTAATGTGTCCTGTCAGTAACTGTGCTTTTGGCAATTAGTCATTTGATTTAGGTTATTTTGGGCAAAAGACATTGAAAGCTGTGATGAATGAGCTCCTGTAATCAAAACATCTTGTTTTAACTGACAGTGTTGCCTCGGGTCCAAATTTATTAGTATATTGCTATGCAAAACAACTTCCGTCATGCTTCAACTGACGACACGCTAAATTTATGTAGGAAAAATCTTGTGAAACAAGAACAAGTCACTTACGTTTTTCTGACTGCTTTAGATTTGAGTAACAGCGAGCTACTTTACGTCCATGACATTCTCCTATATAAAAAAGTAGGATAATGTGTTCATGAGGCTCTAGAAATCCATCGCTGAAGCCCGGGGGGTGTACTTCCTTATATGGCCTATGCAGGGATACTTTGTTTTTCACGCATCTTAGTTTAACAGGGAACAAAATGCAAACTGCAGTGTTAAACATAAGGAAATATAAACGCATTTTATATTTCCTCATGTTCATCCCCGCAGTTTGTTTTTTGTTTCTTCTATACGGGGATGTGCCGCGGAACAGGGTATGATTTGTGTTCTCTCTTAGACTGCGTAGCATGGCGGTTTTGTTAAGGGCAGTACTGAGTGGGGGCGCGCAAACAAGCGGAGTGAAAGTGCGAGGCAATTGGAGTGACGCAGGGTAGTACTCTCTGTTCTAAACAGGGTATATAATTTCGAGTAAGTCTGTCTTTAACAGGGCATATAATTTCGTGCGAGACTGTCCTAACTATAAACAGGGTACTTCCTGTAGGATTGATTTGATTTGTATGATGAATCTTTTTTGGACTTCAAGTATACAAAAGCAATGCTTATAACGGGAATTCGCTTTGTTGCAATTGCCAATAAATAGCTTTAAAACAAGACAGCGTGCAGTTTGTCCATTGTCATATAAAGAGTAATAAAGTTGAGGTTGTTGTCCTAAACAGGGTATGTATGACATTTTGTTTGTTGGGGTCTGGGGTCTGGGGTTTAAACGAAAAGCTGTTCACCTGCACCGAAATACTGGTCGAGTTCCCCCCCCCCTCCCCACCTTCCCAGTGCTGCCGATTAACGTTTGTTTATATGTTGCGCCCAGAAACAGCCTGATATTCTCGGTACCGCGCAAACCTGACTAAAACATTCAGCCATTGCTCACAAATATAACTCGAATATAACTACAAAAATCGACATCGTGTTGGACGGTTTTAAGGTTTCAACAACAAATGTAACCTTTGTACCCGAAGCGCTAGAATACGTCAAGGACTGCTTTCTCGAATTGTCAGATTTTATATTCGCCCATAATAAAGAACGCTTTTCCACTGCAGATAGACACCTGGTTTGTATACTTCTATAAAACAGATGTACTTACCGTTTGCGATTTTGCGATTTCACTCAGAGGGATTCTGCTTGAGTGACGTTCGAAGGGAAAACACCGTGTCAAAACGAAAGCATTACGTCTGATTTTATTTTCATCAAATTACCCGCTTGACGCCCACGCAGTCCATGGGTCACCGCTGAGGGGTAAACTGAACTATTTTCTTCGTGACTATAAAGAGGGGAAAATTACTATTGGGCCTTAAAATTATCACAATCCACAAAAAACTACTGACCTCCCAAAACCTTGATAATCTTTGTACCCAAAAAAGACCTTTTTAGTGGTTTATACATAAGATCCTCGCCACTGTAAGGTAGAACGGGTGGATGAGTGTTCTGTTTAGCTTTTTTCACATGCGAAACATACTCTTTCTTATCCCTGATTGGCTCATAAGCATTCGCCTCAGCCTGGGACCGGGCTCCTTATGGCGATTTTCAGTGAGTTTGTCCCAGTAACAGTAAAGTAAAAGTAGAGATTTTAAGGTGACTCGACCCAGTTTTTTGGGGGGGTACCATCCTACTTTGAAGCTCTCTGGTATCCCACCTTTACTTTTATCGTAAGTCTAACACATAGAATGGATAACATATAGATCAATCTACAACATAACATAAAATTTTTGGCGATCGGAGTAAATGTCACGTGGTTATAATGCCACGCCCCTTTGAGGTCTGAGTCGAAAATCTGCTGTTGCCGGCATTTTTTCGTGAAAATTTCTCGGCTACACATAGTGCGCATTAGTGCCTTGCGCTGAACAGAGTTTCACCAAAATCGCAAAGACCCAATTCGAGAAATTCAGCGGTTTCCAAATTTAGGTCATAATTTATGCGAAAATGATAAGCAAACTTTACACGGATTGTATCTAATAAACTATGAGATTCATCTCTTTATTTTGGGCATCCTTATAACAGATGGGTCCTTGCAAGTCAGCAAAATGCTTCAGGGCCTTGTAAATGTGCGCGATTTCGAGCAAAGCAAACATATAGAAATTATAGTTTTCGCTATTTGTTGACGTTTGTCAGCGTTTAAGAGTCCTTCTCACGAAAAAAGCATTTTCTTAAAAATTCGTAGTTTTTTTTCCTTCAAATTTTTTCAGGGCCACAATTGATTAACTAACTACCCGGACTCTGAATTTCATGGTCATTGAAAAACTGTGACATTACCTTCTATAAGCCCAAACTTGAGTAAACATTGAAGATTTTTAGCGTTTTGGCTGAGTTTGTTCTTTGGGAGTTGGCTATTGTTTCTAGTCTGTCATTATACAGCATTCTTGTTCAGCACGCGTGCAATGACCACGCTTGGCTGACTTCCGAATGCTCATCGAGATATGATAATTTTAATAGTATAAGAAAATAGAAGGGATTCCTGTCACGAGTTGGTTTAATTATTGGCTTGCATTAAACCTATGAAAAAATGATATTCTTTTAATAGTAAGTAGATTTAGTGTGTAGCACTTCTTGATTTTTTTGCAAAGGCACAAGAAGCACGAGAATTGATTAAAAATTGTGAGTTAAACCTCTATGGATCAAGCGATGGCCTGTCTCACTGTACCAAAATTATCATACCTCGGTGAGCATTCGGAAGTCAGCCAAGCGCGGTCATTGCACGCGTGCTGAACAAGAATGCTGTATCATGACAGACTAGAAACAATAGACAACTCCCAAAGCACAAACCCAGCCAAAACGCTAAAAATCTTCAATGTTTACACACGTAAGTCGCAAAAAAATATTTTTTCGGCCCTTCGGGCCTTAGTTTGGTCTAAAACTACCGCCACTGCTCATAGGTAAGCCTGTATCTTACCCTGAAGAAACTATCAGGTAGAACAATAACGCCATTCCCTGCCAGCAGAGGTCTCTCACGACGAGGCAATCTCAGCTTGCCTCGTCGTGACCTCTGCTAGCAGGGAAATAATGCCATTACTTCTAGGATTACCACATCTGGGATACTGCGTGGCAAACATGTTTGCAAACCCATATCCGATTGTAGAAACAGTATACCTTTTAAAAGGTCCCTACATTCCAATCAAAAGCAGAATGCGAGCAGTTTCTCTTTTATCTTCTTTTGCTCGAAAGTCTGTGAAGGAGAGCTAAGGAGTGTGATATGTGTCTGGGAGCGGCCGGCGAGTTGTGCGGGCACCAGTGCGGGCGGCCAATGACTCACATATCATATTTCGAGCAAATGAGAGACTGCTCGCAGGCGAAATCAAAAGCTTAGTTCCACCTTTTGAGTCGTAAATCAAACACAAACCTCAAGCTCAATAACGGCTTTCGCTCTTAATCGACTCAATCAAGTATGGTTGAAAATCTACTTTGTTTACTTAAACTGCTGCAAGTGTTCAGACTGAACGCTTTGAAAAGGCTATCCACAGATAAGACAAACCGAAGCATGGGGCACACATACACCAACCCACGGCCTGGCCAGTACCTCACACATGCGCGCAGCCATATCACCCGGGCAGTGGCAGTCTGCTACACAGCCGTTTTTAGTGTCGTCACGCAACGCTCCTCCCCACATTTTTTGTTTCAATTCTTACCGGGTCTGCCGTAGCAGCACCACATAATTCTTTTGAAACTACAGTAAAGGCCGATTTCTTGAACCCTCGGTTTTTCAAAATTCCCGATAATTCCGCAACCGAACGTAACTTCCCTTCGCCAGTCGACAAACATTGTAACTTTGACTTTTAATATATTAACCGTAACCGATAATGAATTCGAACCGATTTGCCTAACCCAAGGTTTACGAGTCCCTAACTCACTAAGCGAATGCTTGTTAAAAAATTAACGGTATATGTTGTTTAAAGAAGCGATTTATAGGGTTTTTTACGAGAACATGCAAAACGGTTTCAAACCAAGTCCTTACAATGAAGGTTAAGACAGGATCGCAAACTTTAAACGACACTGGAGCACAAAGTTAACAAGGGTAAAAGAATTTCATTTCATTTCTACACAATAAACTCTGATAGGACGAATTTTTTTAAAAAAATAAAACTGCGTCCATTTGAACCCTAGCAATCGCTTCGTTACGCGATAATGCCACTTATGTTATTTTTTCACCAGCGCTCAAAAAGGGAAGAAGGACTGGTAGGTATATAAGATATGTTCGGCACATTATAACTGACCGTACATGACGTTCCTACCGCAGAACTGCCCGATTCGAGTCTGATCGTAGGTTAACTATGTCCCTTCACTGAATACTTTCAATATTCTGAGGTCTTCTATGTGTAGAATAATAAGAATATTATACTAATAAAGAGGCAGAAAACATTACCTATGGCAAAAGCATTTCATTTGTGGAAGTAGCAAAGACCTCTCGTGTTAGCATAACATGACATAACCTAAGTCAGCTGCGTAGCACTGAGGCGCTTAAAAGTAATATGAGGGCAAGAAAGAACGGATCACGCAGGGCGCCAGGGAGACCACAGTTCTTCCAGGCACCTTATTAGGTCATGCAAATTAACAGTCTTCGTTTATTGTAATCATCCATAAAGGTTTGAATAAAAATTACCCACTTACGACTTTTATTTGATTAAGAAACAATAGCCTTTTGACACATCTCTTTTTCAAAGGTCTCCATACACAAAATCCCATGTCATTTTATGCCATTCTCTTCTTGGGATAAAGCAAGCGTTGTTTCCATCCATTCATCGCCAGAAGCTGGCACCGATAATTATATTTCCTCTGACGGTTGTTATAAAAGAAGATTGAAGATTAGGTATGTTTGATATTTGCCAATCGCTTTTGTATTATGGAAGGTGAAAGTATAGTTAGTGTCATTGCTTTTCCGCATTATTCCATTTAATCTCGTGAGAAATTTTGTGTCAGAAGAAGTTCTTGAAAAACACATCACACTGAAATCACAACATAAAGGTCATGTGTAGGTTAGATGTTGTATTAATGCAGTTAAAATGTTTCTTATCCAGGATGAGCCAAAGCGTCAATAAGTGTAATCATTCCTTAGTTGTTATGAAAGGAGATTGAAATAAGAATCAAGAAAGTTTGTTATAAAAGTTCGAGTGACTGTTTCTAATGAAGGTTAAACCGAAGATAAGAAGTCTAACAACTAATACATTGTCAGAGAACGTCGTCAGTTTTTAGGTGGTCTTTAATTATTTTGGCAGCCTGTATAAATCGTAATAGACCGTAAACAACTTCTCATGCAGAACTTCTACCACAACAACTGAACATTGTGCACCCTACTCGGCGAAAAGGCAGGGGCACCCAACGAGAACATAGTTCAAAACCACTTAAACATAGCATTTTAAACGTATTTTAGTATTTAAATGGTACATATAGGCGTATTTTGATCTCCTAAAAAATTTTCATCTGTTCGGATTTCCTAGGTGACAGTCTAGTGATCCGAAAATTATAGGGATCAAAACTTACCTTTTCGAAAATTTCAGCCAGAAAAAACGCTCCAGCAAATTCTAGGTGACCTTTTTAGGGTAAAAATGGGCAATTATACCGTTTTTTAGACGTTCAAAAATCCTAGGAGAGGCATGCAAGCAAGAAATTTTAAAACAAATGTTCCGAAAATTATAGATGTCAAACTTTCTACCGAACAGATATTTTCCGAAAATTGACGTTGGGTGCCCCTAAAAAGGTAATTGAGGAGGTGTTATGTATTTCTAATACACACTGAAATCTGAGGGCAAAACCCTATAGTGTAACCGCAATTCAAATGAAACCTTTCCAGCAGCACTTTCATAAGGTATTATCTGTAATGATTATGCCACATGATTATTGAAATGAATCGTTGTGTTGTTACCTTTCAAATGAAACCTCTTGAACAGAAGGTTAGTTTAGCTGACATTTTTCATTAACAGTACAAACTGCACCTCGCTTTAGCAGTCGGCTGTGAATATAAAATCCTGAAGTGTTAACATTCTAAAGAAAGCTCTTCATCTTTTAATAACCTTTACATGGTAGATTTATTTTTCCGTATTATACCGCATGAAACTTGAAAATTTTCTTTAATTTTGATGATGAGAACTACTGAGAGGTCTAGGAGTAAAATCGATGACCCTGTCGTTTGTTTCTAACCAGACGACAGCATGACAAGCACGAGCAAGAATAAAGAAATGAAAGACAAGAGGGCAGACAGCATTGAAGCTGTTCAAGAGGCAAATGAACAGCCCAGTCTCCCTTCCATTTACTCCATAGCAGCCGCTCATTCGCTGTCAAAAGACTTAAAACAAAAGTCCCTGCACTTAATCAAAGTCAAAAGAAGACATGGAGACTATGGACAATTTGATTTGACGCACGCTTGGTCCCCAGAGGATTTGATGGATGACCTAGGAAGTCGCTACGAGAGTGGACGGTCTAGAGACAGTACATTGGCTGATGAGAGTTTAACTTTGGCACGACCCTTTGTTATGGAACCATTGAGGACATTTCAGGTAGTAGATTGAGATATGATTCTCTTTTGTTTTATTTTCTTAGAATTTTGACTGCACATCTCGCAATTTTGCTACCTAAAGTATTCCCTGTCTATAGAGTACTAAAGTGTGACGTCATAAAAATGAAATTTCTGAAATTATGGGATTTGTCAGGATATTCTGGAAGAACAATGTCCAAGAGGCCTCTTTTTTTTTGGGTCGACCCAAAAAAAATTTAGAAGGGTTTGTATGGAGTTTTGTAAGCATAACTAAGCTACGATCTCAGAGACACTTTGCCCCCAAATGCTCATTTTTGGCAAGTAGGCCTCTTGGACATTGTTCTTCCAGAATATCCTGACAAATCCCATAATTTCAGAAATTTCATTTTTATGACGTCACACTTTAGTACTCTATAAGGCCATGGCTACTTGATGAAAAGAGTAAAGCCGCGCGTAAATCAATAAATAATTGACAAATTTTACCCGGCCCCATTTGTTCAACAAGGTGGATAGCGCTATCCGATGGATAAATCTTTATCCAGTGGATAGTGCAAATGTTTCCCAAATACTTATCCGCTGGACTGTGATTTATCCAGTGGAGAGCGCTATCCAACGTTTGAAAAACCGGGGCCAGAAGGTGCTCTGAACTACTGGTAAGCTGAATAAAATACCAAAAAGATTTTATGGGACAATTATCCTCTCTAGTTATCCACTTTTATCATTTGGGTGCGGCTTAACTCTTCCTCAAGTACCTGTCGGCGATAGCAATTTTGAGTTTGCCATCAAACTGTCAAATGTATAAAGTTCACCTTAAAACAAAAGCTTAGTTTGAAAAATTATTGTCAGATTCTCCGTGTTTTGTACATAGCTAAGTACTTTGAGCCGTCAAGAATTGTTTGAGCACCGCGTAAACAATCTCAGTATCTCACTGGACATTATGGGTGGCGAAAAAGGAATCCTCAATAACTACTCAGCCCGACAAATTTCGGTTTTTAGCCAGAGGGAAGTGTTCAGTACTTTGGAAGTTTTAGCCACGACCACAGCCATTAGTTAATATAATGGTCGACTTAGTCAAGAGAAGATTATTCACTCCTGTTTGTCATGTTCCAACACTTTCAATAGGTCCTAAACTTTTCATTAATGGTCATATTATTTGTCCAATGTTTTTTCTTTCCGATTCTCTCCCAGGAACACAAGGTCAAACCAATCATTCAACATGTACTGGAAACTAACTTGGCAGAACAAAAGTATGACCCAGTCTTTTGCAGAGATGCTGCAGTCACGATGGCCGAGGTTATAAAGGAAAGAGTGAAAAAACTTTGTTATCCTCGATATAAATTTGTGTGTCACGTGGTCGTGGGAGAAGTTAATCAACAGGATGTGAAAGTTGTGAGCCGGTGCGCATGGGACTCAGCGGTGGATCGTTTTGTGCAGTATCAGTATAGCAACTATTATCTGTACGCCGTGGGGATTGTTTATGCAGTTTACTGTGAATAATTGAGCCTTTATCTTGCACAAGTATAGTCATGAATACAGACAAAATGATTAATATATTTGACAAAAACAAAGAATTCTGTTATTAACTGAAATTGGCTCTACGACAACGGGCCAATGTTCAACAAGCAGAAACATTCCACTGACTGAAAAGCCATTGGTCTATAGAGTGTTTTCACTCACGTGGTCAGCATTTATGCAAATTTATTGGTTAACCCCCACAAGATTTGTTTGGAACACCAGCATGGCCGCCGTTTCATTGTCTTAGGACACCAGTATGGCCGCTGTGACGTGATGTGAAAACACTCTATAGTACCTTCAATTTGACGTAGAAGCTGGCAAAAAAGTGTTTTTACGTGCTATGCCATTGACGTTTTCATTGACGACAGAGGCGAAAATTTTGGCAAGTTGGAAAATGGCCAACGAAGCTTCTAGCCTAAATTCCGCTCCCTCGAGGACTTTTTCGTTGATTGCCTTGTTTTTAGTAGATAAAGAAAGGGAATAAATGCATTAGATCAAATTTATGTTTGCCCATGTTTTAATTTTCCAAATTGTGACATTTGCATGGAGTGCCGGGTGGTCAATTGCACCAGCCAAATCCGGGTCTTGTTATGATTAAATGAACGCCCTCTACAATAGTGTGCCATTATCAGCGTGTCGTCAGCTTTATAAGGCCCATACAAGGAAACTCAGATGTCCATTGACATTCATTGTTCAAAACCAGCTAACTCGCTCTTACAAATGTTAACATTGACGCGGTCTTTCTGTTTATCTGCTAACGAATTCCAATGTTTAACAGCTTGAGAGCGGATGTCAGTAAATATCGACCAGAGGTCTACAAAAGTGAAAAATCGAAAATTCTCAAAAAAATTCACAAAGTAGCACTAGGTAAGCTATTAACATAAGAGGGGGACTGGGAAGAGCATGATGGCCGACAGTCGCAAAAAAATCTTTCCTTCATTCGGAAAGGGACAGACGCCGCTATATAAACACCCTCTGATCATATAATCATCTTTAAAACAATGTCTAAACGGAATCAACGTGAAACACGTTCTTCGAGTTCATCTTCTTCACAGTATCAACCATCGCCGAAACGCTTGCTCCGCGATGGGACGCCAGGTAAGGACGACCATCACGTCTCACTCGGCAACATTATGGATAAGTTGTGTAACTTGGAATCTCGAATGGATGACCTCTTCGGCAGTCTAAAATCCGAGTTATCATGTCTTAGACATGAACTCAACGAAGAAATTGAGAAAGTAAAATCGACAGTAAATGATATGGAAACATCATTGAACGCGGCGTGGGACACAATCAAAGATCTCCAAGATGAACTAAAAATACACGCAGAATTCCGAAAGAAACATAAAGCAAGTTTGGAAAAACACCTCGAGGACAATGGTGTTTCACAAAGCGCTAAAGCAAAAATTGCTCTGCAGGAGAGTCAAATCAACCTTTTAAATACGAAGCTATCCGAGGAACAGGAAAAAATCATCGCACTGGAAAACTACTCTCGCCGAGAGAATCTCCGATTTATGAATATACCGGAGCAAGAACACGAGAACTGCACTGACACCGTTTATGATATCGTCGAGAACGGGTTGAACATAAACACACAGAATATATACTTTCATGCTGTCCACAGAGTCGGTAAGCCACGTTCGCCTGAGGACTCCCATCACCATCCCCGACCCATCATTGCGCGTTTTCTCTGCAGGGAAGATAGGGACCGTGTTTTTAAAGCGAAAGGAAGATTGAGACACTCGACGGATTATCCAGACGCGTATATAACTAAAGACTATGCAAAGGCGATACAGCTTGAAAGAAAGGAACTAATTAAAGCGATGTTCATAGCGCGGAAGAAAGGCATGAGCGCGAAAGTAGTGGACAGAAATCTAGTAATAAATGATAACGTTTATCATGTTGGTAACATACCCGACGAACTTAAACCTGCAGCTGAATCTACACGCTCGTAGAAGTTTTCTTTACTCAGGTCAGTGTAATTCGATTTTTCTCAGTTGCCTTTGCATTAATTGCTATGGCAACCTTTAAGACCGAGACTAGTACTCCACGTTTGCTTCGCCGCTTGCACACAACGGATTCTTTCCTTTTTGTATATTGTTCTAAAGTTAAACTATTTGGCGTTCCGTCCTTTCCGGATTCGTCGATCTTTCTGTTTGAAGGTATGTTCTCCCTAAGCCGCTTAAATTTTACCTTTTTTTTTGTTTTTGTTTATAGTTTTATGTTTCCATTGTAGCCGTTGTTTTGGTTTTTCGGTCAGTAGAAAATATTTTTCAGTCCTACGAAGTGTTAACTATCGCAATTTGCATTTTGTTTCTGCATTCCAGTTCACTACTTTTAATCATCAACAAGTTCCCAATTGACGAATTGATAATCTGTTCTCTTAATGTGAGGGGCTTATCCAACAACCTTAAGAGGCGAGAAACCTTTCGTTGGCTTAGATTGAAAAAATTTGGAATATTCTTTCTTCAAGAAGTCCACTGCACCAAAGAAAAAGAACGACTGTGGTCATCAGAATGGGGCTTCTCAGCTATTTTTAGTAGTGTTTCTAGCTCAAGTGCAGGGGTATGCATCCTGTTTAACAACAATTTTCAATTCGAAATCAAGAAACAATTTTCTGATCCAGATGGAAGATTTATTTTAGTAGATTTTGAAACTTGAAAATAAGACTATAACCTTGGGAAACATTTATGCGCCAAACGATGACAATCCGAATTTTTTTAAAAACGTTCTCAGCCACCTCCTCTCTTTCGAGTGCGACGACATTATCCTGGGTGGCGATTTTAATCTAGTATTGGACGTCCAAAATGATAAGAAGGGAGGAAGACTGACCACTCACAAAAATTCTTTGAAGGAAGTTCAGAACATAATAAATTCGCTAGACCTTATCGACATTTGGCGGGTCTCCAATCCGGATATCAGAAGATTCACTTGGAGAAGAAGCAAACCCGAAATTCATTGTCGCTTAGACTTTTTCCTGACGAGTAATAGTCTAAAGCTGATATTTTACCAGGGTACAAAACAGACCATTCTTTGATAACGCTCCACCCTGCAAACAATACCAATCCCAGGGGCCCGGGCTTCTGGAAGTTAAATACGTCTTTTCTATCAGACAGTGAATATATTAATTTGATAAAAACAACAATCACTGAAGTTGCAAATGAATACCAAAATAACACTGAGGTTGATGCCGTGCTCCTCTGGGATACAATGAAGATGCAAATTCGTTCAAAGTCAATACAATACGCAAAACATAAGAGAGGCAAAATGAAGTTAACAGAAACAAATCTGGAGTCTGTCATAACGTCCCTACAGAGGAAACTGGAAGAAAATGACTTA